TCATTGGAATGCGGTTCTAAGAATTGTGAGGTATTTAAAAGGGGCCCCTGGTCGTGGTTTGATATACAAAAGTGGTGGAACACTTGAAATAGAAGAGTATACTGATGCTGACTGGGCTGGTTCTATGTCTGATAAGCGGTCTACCACAGGTTATTGCAATTTTCTAGGGGTAATCTGGTGACATGGAAAAGTAAGAAGCAGACAGTCGTGGCAAGAAGCAGTGCAGAGGTAGAGTATAGAGCTATGGCACATACTGCTTGTAAATTAGTGTGGCTAAGGAACCTTCTACAGGAGATAGGATACAACATTAATACTCCAATGAAGCTCTATTGTGACAATCAGGCTGCAGTTCATATTTCTTCTAATCCGGTGTTTCGTGAATTAACCAAGCACATAGAGGTTGACTGTCACTTTGTGAGAGAGAAGGTGTTGAATGGAGTGATAGACACTGCATACGTTAATATAGGGAACCGGTAGACAGACATTTACAAAAGGGTTGAGTCGGRGAAGAGTGGACTACATATGTAACAAGCTGGGATTATATGATATATACTCACCAGCTTGAGGGGGAGTGTTAGTGTAGGGGTATTTCTGTCTTTATACTTATGTTGAGGTTATTGATCTGTAATATTATATCAGAACTAGTGTCTCTCACTTAAATAAGGGCACATGTGTCTTTTCCATTCTGTTAATAATATAAAAACATGTTTGGCCGAATGGGGGAGTGATTTTTACCCTAATTCGAATCGGACTTTTCTTCTCTCTTTTTCTCCTCTTTTCTCTCTCTCTCTTTCTTCCCTCTTTCTTCCTCTTTTTTCTTGACTGTTATCAGACTAACAGAACTCAAAGGCAGGCCGAATTCTAACACGTGTATTAACTTTATCTACATTCTTTTGTACATGACTATCATGCAAATATCTTAAATGAATAGTTTATGTTGTTTACTGATGATATAATATTGTGATAAAGCTAAAGATGGGCTAAATGCAAAGAAAACGCAAAGGAGACATTTTAGAATCAAAAGGTTTCAAGATAAGTTGGGCTAAGACATAATATATTTTATATTATATTGCAAATTTAATAAATGTAGTAGCAGTATGGTTGATGTAGGACCAGCTCAGTTCTAGTCCTTAGAGAATGTTGAGTGGTCTTCTTGATCAGAGTTTTATGGCTGTTGATGGCTATAACGTCTTCTTGAAGGAATAAGAGAGAAAATAGGGAGAGAAAGAAGAGAGGAAAATACCTTGAATCACTCTAGGGCATGGGAATCACTCACCATTAGGGGTGTTCAAACTCAGTTGATAAACCAAAAACCAAACCGAACCAAACTGAACCAAATCGAATAAGCAAGTTCGGTTCGGTTTTTATTTAAAAAACCATTGGGCTTTGGGTCATTCTAACTTTTAGTTAATAATAATAGTTAATTAATTAAAACCATTGGGTTTTGGGGCCATTTTAACTTTTGATTAATAACACTTAGTAATTATAAATTATTTATTTGTCGTTGATCAATGCTTCTCATTTATGTGGAATTAGGGCCCAACCGAACCAAACCGAATCGAATTTGGTTAGGGTCAGTTCGATTCTGAACTCTAGTTCAGTTTGGTTCGGTTGGAGAAAATGGTCAAACTGAATAGTTGGTTAGGTCCTTGGTTCTAACCGAACCGAATCGGACCGACCGATTGTACACCCCTACTCACCATAGCTAGCATAAGCTGAAGAAAACTCAATAAACTTTATTGCCTTTGTGTAAAACGTGCATACATATTTATAGACTCTAAATTCATAATAATCCTAGGAATTAAATTGTTAGACTCATAATAGTCTTAGGAGTCAAACTATTAGACTCAATAATCCTAGTAGAAGTCAAACTAAGCTGTCATATCCTATTTTAATTCAAAGAAGACTCAATAACTCTAATCCTACTTATGCAATGACTCTAAAATTTTAAACATAAGCAAACTATAGCTAGGCAAATTAAACCCTATCATTGGACCCCATAGAAAATTACAAAAGACAAAAATACCCCTACTATCCAAAAATATAGAAATACATAAAATTTCATAAAATTCCAATTTTGCCTCTTCAGCTCCTGCATCACCGGTGGTACACTTAAGACTAATGGAGAAATTGAAAAGGATGTTGCCCAAAGAATTAGGGTAGGTTGGTAGTGGAGAGGTTCATCTGATGTAACCAACATATATAAAGAAACTAGAAGGAATTGAGAACTCAAGAAGGGAAGAGGTATGTCGTAGAATGCAGAAGAAACAGTAAAGGGGGTTACTTAACTCTTTCTGAATATTTCGGGAAAGGAAGGAGGCAACTAGTTTGCTTTCCTGAAGGTAGACAAGGACTTGGATGGAAGAAAACCAATGGAATACTAGAAGAATTTATCCAACACTTGGAAACCTTGCGCTTGGATCTATTGAAGGAGAATGGTAAAACCATCAAACTTTCAACTGAAGATGAAGACCAGGTCCAAGAGCTACTAGCCTTTGGACAGAACAGGCTGGTTGGCTATTCCAGGAGAGAAGAGTGGGAAGATAAATACGTGGTTCAAGTTAAAAATCCGGTTAGCAACTGGAGGAGAGTTGCAGACCTGCTCATATTACAGCTGAAGTTAAAAGGGATGTTTATTCTAACACCTTTTGAGAACAGTAAAGCGGTGCTTGATTTGACTGAAGATAAGTTTGAGCTCTCAGCTATCAGTTTTTAATCTGAATATGGTGTGATTACAATCACTAAGTGGAACCCTTCATCTAACAAAGAGTTCTTCATTGAGGACGGGGTGGTGGTATGGGTTCTTGGTCTGCCCTTTCACTTGTGGAAACTGAAGGAATGGAAAGATCCATCGTATGGACGCCCTGATAAAGCGGAATAGAATGGGCGAATTTCAAACATTTTGCAAACAATTTTGGAAACCTATATATATATTATATAAATATATTTTGCAAAACAAAATTTCAACGATTGAAATCAACTGTCGGCGGTTTTGGTTTCCATCAGAGAGAGTACATTTCTCCGATCATTACCTTTGTCCGACAAAGGGGCTGATCTTGTCACTATGATCACCCACTCAGATGGGTTCATGAACCATCTCAACATACCCAGGTTTTGACCCCCTCTAAGGGTCTCACTGATTGGCATATCAAAGATGGCCCAATCCGCCACCCAGTG